AAGAAAAGTTTTCGATACTTTGACACGTGTATTAATTGTGAAACATAGCCGTCTAAAAAGAAAGGATTACGTGTTCTGATACAAGTCGAATTGTCGCGCAAACATTTCACGCACACCCACAGAAAAAATTTCCGAATCCAATGCTATTACATTTCAATGTGTCATAAAATAGGATCGACAGGGCGCCAATCATATTTATTATAAAGAAAGGAATATTTTAATCTTAAATGAAAAATTCTAAAATCTAGAATAAAATATTATGTGTCGTCTTTTGTCGAATATCGTGGTGCCAACTTTGTGCGTTGTAAGATGGAGGGAACATTTATTCCAAACGCACGAATATATAAACTTACATTTATATAAGTTACTCTTGTCTCAATATAGCAAAGTCAATCTTTTTTAATTCCATAGAGGAGAATAAGAATTAGCGATTTTATTTTGATATTGTCATACTTTTATACTAAATGAGGTTATGAGAAATATAAATGCGTCAAGAATATTTTTTGTCTCACAATCAGTAACAGAAATCCTTTCTGTGGGCGCATAATTAATTTTTTCTCTAAAGATACGAGTAACATAAAAAATATAACTATCAGTGCATCCCGTGCTTCACGATTTCATTAAAAAAAGTTTTCGATACTTCATAGGGAAAGAGGTGAAAAATGTATTGTACTATAAATTATTTAGTATACTCCCTCCTGTGAAAAATATATACATATATATATTTTACATTTATATCTCCTATATATATTAATGATATTAAATTATCTCTCGAGAGAAGTTACACTCATATAAAAATTCTTATGTAACCTTCAGTTTTCTTTTATTGCGCATTTCGTAACTTATTTTTCAACCTTTTAACAGACACACGATTGCATAATCAATCATGTGTGCACAGAACATTTAATATATTAAATTATTTTACTATAGACAGTAATATTAAAAATTCATTCGTATGTTTAATATATTCAATTATTTCGGTAGTAATATTAAAAATTTATTCGTAGGTTTCTCGCAAGCGGACAGAAAATTCAACGAATATCATAAAAATATAATAATTACAATAGGAAATAAAAGCATATTAGGCAAATGACTTTTTAACATGATAGCAGTTTTGTTTAAAACGCTTTGCAAGCTCTATCGAAAGTTAACGGGATTTAGAATGTAATTAAAATACACTTCTCCGAAATACGTCTCTCCCTCCCTCCCTACCTAACTGTGAAAGGTTTCTATTAATATCAGACTGATGCGATTGCTATATCGATCAAGCACTGTGTATACTCGGAATATTTTCCTGCAATTGTGCATTTTACATGCTGCGCATAACGCAGTATAAAGGAGTTATACCCAATTATTCCCTGCTTTGTCGATAAGCTCTATTTTAAAAGTATCCTGACCTCGCTAACTTATGCATTTTATGCGCCCACACACCGCCACCTACAACACTAAAATTACTCAAGCGATCGACGCCACACGGGCGACGTCTGTTTACAACAAAATAGCGCGCCGTTCGATTGTTAATTTACCGCTGGAAACGGTCGACGTATTTCGGTAAAATTCAAGGGAATCTTGCGAGAAGAGAAACTTATTTCAGGAGCGTAGCGCGCGTCGGTCAACTGTGTCGAGGCGCTTCCCGCCGCGCGAACAACGCGACAGGACGCCGAGGGATCGCCTCGGTGTGACGAAAAAAAAAAAGGAAAACAGGCATTTTCCATTTCTTTGATACTCGGCGTTAAAAGTCCCTCCCGTGCGATAATACCCGCCGTGCGCGACAGCGGCGTAACTTAGGAACTCCGGCAGCGAGATACGCGTGAACTGGCGGTAAGGCATTTTACGACTCTATGGAAATTCCCTCGCGCTCGCTCGGGCGTTCTCCTCGTTTCAATTAATCCATAAACACACGCCGCAGAAATGCCGGTAAATCGCCGGCAGCGCGCGTCGAGAATTTTCTCCCGACGTGACGGCGGCGCCCGGAGACGGTCATTCGGGCGGCAATTCGATCCCGCGTCGCTCGAATTTTCGCGAACGCGCCCAACGGCGCCCTCGCCGGCGCCGACTAATTAGTCACGTCGGGAGAAAACAGAAGCGCGGACAATCCCCCCTTCCCGCGCGGAGCGGAATTCCCCGCGATCGCTCCCGAAATCACGGCCGCATTCCACGTGGTGTTCCCACGTGGCTCCGCGAGCGAGCTCGGCGAATCAGCGACGGTGGAACGCCGGGGCTTCCTCGATCGAACTCTGTCACACGTGAATCCGACCCGCGTGTCTCTCTATATATATATATCTCTCTCTCTTTCTCTCGCGCGGCGAGGAGAGTCTCGTAAAAATCGAGTGTCCGGCTGGAAATTGAGGTGACCGGCGAGTTTTCGTTCAATGACAAAAAATGGCGGGAAATTCAAAAGAGGAGCGTCCGGCGCCCGTCGCCTACCGATCCGGTCGATCGGCGGCCTCCGCTCTCCACCGTCGCCGTTTAAAGATTAAAAGACTCACATTTCATGCGTTGCGGCGCGTGCTGTTTCCTTCGGGGCATCTGCGTCCTTCGGGAGTGCTCGATTATCCGTGCGGCCTCCAGGTTCCCGTCTCCTCTGTCACGACCGCGATCGGTTGGTCCCCCGAAAACAAGCCGAGCGGCCTCTCGGCGCGGCCCGCGCCGGGAGAGAAGTTATCCCTCGACTATCTCTTCCCCTGGGAACTCGAGTCTTGGGCCTCCTCCTACTCCTCCTCTTCCGTTTACGCACTCGCGGTCACCCAGCCGGCACGTGTCCCGACGACCACTACCTCATCGTGATCGCCGACGACCCGCTCGTCGTCGGTGACGCGATCCCCGCGATCCCTGTCATTCTACGGAGAGAGCGGAGGGGGGAGGTTCGCGACACCACCTGTGCACCCCGCGGCAAGATATGTTCACAGCCGATCGCGAAGCGGACGGCACTTGTCGAATCTCTCGGAGCGCGGGCCGAAGTCTTCTCGCGGGCGCGACGCTTCTCTCCTCCCTTTTTCCCCTCTCACTCGCGCGAGACCATCCGCGGCGCCATTTCGGGGCCCGTCGACGCCGACGTGTCGCAATTGATTTACTATCGTCACTACATTCTCCGCCGGTGATTATCGCACTGATCCGATTCCCCCGATCGCGCGGTATCCGGGGATCGATTTACTCCGATTTACTCTCTTTCTCTCTCTGCGTGCACCAACCCCCCCGGGTTCACCACTTTTCTCTGCAAGCAATCATCAAGTCTCACTCGTCACTTTCCCGATCGGTCGCCGAGGTTCACACCGGTGCCCGTTTCCCAACGACCGCTATCGGGATCGCGCCAAGAGATAGGACGAACAAGGGGAGGACGGGGGAGTCTCGATTATCACGCGATAATCTCTCCACGACGCGTCGCATCCACTCGCGACGCGCGCGCAACGCTCTCCGCGTACGTGTCGAAAGAATGAAAGAGACAGAGAAAGAGAGAGAGAGAAAAGCGGAAAGGAGAGAGAGAGATAATCGGATAGATAACAACGAAACAAGCGAGAGAGGACACGTGTAATAGATAAAGAGGATGAAAAACGCGCGAAAGAGTGAAAAGAGAAGACGCGCGCGGGAGAGAAAGGTGGAGAAAGAGGGACAGAGAGAGAAAGAGAGAGAGAAAAGAGAGATCCGGAACGCGGTAGACGGAAAAGAAGCGGGGAGGAGGTGGAGGTGGAGGCTACCGTCGTTCGTGGATCGCGAAATCGAGCGGGCGGCGGTCCAGCGCTGACTGACTACGGACTGGCGTCGCGGCGGCAGGCCGTGTGGTGGGGAGGACCCCAGGAGTAGTAGTAGTAGTAGTAGTAGTCGTCCTCTTTCCCTCCTCCAACGCCCGTTCTCGTTTCCTCGCTCGCCCGCTCTTCCTTCGCCGGCCTCGCTCGCGCGCGCGCGCGCGCCCGCTCGACCTCTCCCTCCCGCCTTCCGTCGCCCGCGTTCTTTCTCTCCTCCGCGGGCCGCGATCGCACGTCCGCGGCCCGCGAACGAGGCCGCGCGAGGAGGCGGGGAAGGGACAGCGCCGCGCCGGGCGAGGTATGCCCCGAGTGAATGAGCGAAACCGTGGCGGGAGGGGGGGGAGGAGGGAGGAGGGGGCGTGCGTCTTGTCCTCCGTCGCGTTCCTCTCGGTTTACCCATACACGCGCGTCGCGACGCGACGCGGCGCGACGCGAGGGGACTCCGCCGCGCCGCGCCGCGCCAGCGGCGGCGCAAAAGCCAGCCACTCTCGGCCGCGATGCACCGGACGCTGGCGGATGCGCTGCCCGCCGCAACGTGGCACCCACGCGCGTCGTCGTCCCCCGTCGCGCGGAACGCCGCGCGGATTTTTCTCGTTCCCCCTCGCTTTTTCCCCGCGCGAGCCGTCGCCCCGCGCGGGCCGCGGGATTTTCGGATAGAGCCGCCGCGAGGTACTGAACGAAAAAACGCGCCAGCTTGCGCTCGGGCGAGGGGGGGGGGAAGGCCTGTCGTCGGGTCCGCGTAGGATTACAAGCGACGCTCGCGCGCACGGGGGAGGTCAGAAAAGGAGGCGGGGTCCCCGGCCGTGTCGCTCCACGCGGGAGAGCACGAGGGGGGGGAGGACGCCGCGGTGATTCCGATTGCGGCCGCGAGGGGCGCTGCCGTACGACGAGCTACGGGCGCTACGGCGACGCGGAGCCACACCTAGGAGTTTCTCGACGTTTTCACGAGGAAAACCGTGTTGGAGGCCCGTGCTGGTCGAGGTGAGTACTCGATCGGCGTTGTTTGTTGGCGGGTTGAAAGTGCGATTCGCGGATTGTTCGGCAAGCATAGCTGTCGGCCGTGTCGCTGAATATTCCGAAATCTAACCTCAAAACGCACAGTAGCTGTATGAAGCGAGAAAATTTGTCGCTTTACAGAATCCGTGCGCGCCGAATGCCCGTTTCTCGGCGGGTTAATAGAAATCTATGCACGTCTCGCGATGTACTGCGCTTTACTGCACTCGCACGTAGGAAAACCGCGACGACAATTTAATTGAACGTTGTTGCAAGCCAGGAAATTGCTAGAGCGTTTAATAGAAAATTTGATATTAATTGCAAAACTACTTTCCTCGCTAAATGCACAGCATTGGAAAAGGATGCCGAGTTACAGCTTAATGTTGCGCGATCAACAGTTTCAAAGTTTTGCGGAACGCTTTTTTTCATTAAAATATATCTGCCTGTACTCTGCAACGCGCTGCATTTATTAAGCATTTTCTTTAATATGCTGCGCGAAATCGGGTTCGCTTAGCCAATATCGAAAGTTGACGTATAATTAACGAACAAACTTTTTAATGATTGGAAAAATTATCGCTTTCTATTTCTTCAACTATAACAGAAATAGCATACGACATGCGGTATTTTTCGACGCTCCTGGAGTCGCTATTAGATTTCCGCGATTTGTACTATCAACTGATAGTTTCAGGAGCGTTATTTGTAATTTACAAAAGTATTTATCATTTTAACAAGTATATCCCGAGGCTGTCGTTCAATAAATAATTTACACGTAGCACAATTGCCACGTCACGTCAATAAATTATAAAATCCACCAGTACAAAAGCTACGTGATGAAGTAATAGCACGCAATCACACATTCTCAACGTCTCGTTCCGCAAGATACGTTCTAACAGGCGACTTCTTGGGAATCTTTACTCTTCACTTCTGAACAACTACTTTCTCCTCTCTCGTCGCTTCCTTCAATCAGTGATTCGTCGCCCCGCCCTCCCCAACGCTCCCTCGGCCCCCCCCACGGAAAAAAGTCCCTCGAAAATATTATTTCTAAGGAATCCGGTGATTCGTACTATCCCGATTTGAGAGCTCGTTTTGGCGGGCACCGGTGGAGGCGCTGGCAACACTGGCGGCGTTGCGGGGTGAAGCGTACCAACTGGCGGGCAGTCTCCGCCCACCAGGCGGAGCCCGCATGATCTATAGCGTCATAGAACACCCTTGCCGTCGTGGTAGGAACCGAACGGCGACGCCCACAGTGCGGAACGTGCGCGCTGCACCCCCGCCGCCGCCGCCGCCGCCGCCGAGGGCCGAGGATGTTTATGCCTCTGCCGCCGTGTCTCTATCTAGTCGTAGTCCTGGCGTTGGGCTGTTTCTTTCTTGTCGTCGTCGTCGTCGTCGTCGACGTCGCCGTTGACACTGCTCCGCTACCGTCGGCATACGCTTCCCCCGGTTTATCCTCCGCTCCTTCCATCCGGCACGCGTTCATTACCGCTAAACATTTCTGTCAATTAAAAGTGCACCAACGCCCAATTTACCGGCGGTCGTCTGTCGTTTCGGCGAGCGAGCCCGCGGATCGGATATTAACGAGGAGGGCCACGGGTTTTTCTTTTCCCTGTTTTTTTGTCCTCTGTCCTTATTTTTGCCTCTCCTCTTTTTTTCATTTTCTGGCGCACTTCCTGCCGGATTCGCGAGGGTATAGCCGTACTTATGGGCTTTTCGTTAGCGCGCATGCAGATGTACCTTGGTTTATGATTATGGCGCCTGGCTCTCATTTTCACGGAGACAGAAGCGTTCCAAAGGGAGGCGACATTTTCCCGCGATGCAATGCTAGTTTTTTTTTCTTCTCGGAGCACGTATCGGTGGATACGTTGACGTGGAGGACAGGTACAATACGGACTTTTGTTTGCAATAAAAATGTACGCGACATGTGGATAATTTTGCGTCACTGTTCATCTTCACTTGTGTCTTAAAAATCATTATTATTATGATATATGCGTTACATGACTATCAAATGTGAGCTAAACCACTCTTGAAGATAACTAATTACGTACATGTTTCTTATTCAACTATACAGTTATACCGAAATAAATAAAAAGGAAAAGTATTCGAAATTAACGTACGGATTAAGTGATCATATTAATTCACAGTTTTATTATGTTTATTTTCTTCTATATTTAACTTTTTCGTTTAAAATTATTTGGACGACGTTGTCGAATAAGTTGGCTGCAACCAGAATTCGTTGAGTCCTTCCCGAAACTAATACTTTATGTTGAGTTTGATTAATTGATAAAAACAAATAAAATATTTGTAAACATTTATGAAGTAAACGAAGCAATAGTCAGATATAATAAATACAGAGGCAGGACACATCGTAAGAATACAATAAACTTTTACTTATCTCCAATGGCAGCTCAACGCGACTGACTTAACTAATAAATAAGTTAAATGGCCATTACGTAAGAACATTATTGTTTGGCGTAGGCTTAAATACCCTTGAAACTTTAATTAAAATTTCGCAAAACAAAATTCCTTAGGTAAAACGATCTTGTGTTTTCTTGCTCACGTTAGTATCCTTTTAGTTTCGTTAAATTCTTTAACTTTTAATATTGCTAACTTTATCGACACAAATCTGGAACGAGCGCGATTCCTCTCTTCCAGTTTGGTTTTTAATATGGACGAGATAGCAGCGGCCCGGCTTAAGAGACACCCCGTAAAAGTATCGCGAGCATACGTGAATTGCTGTTCTTATGTGAGCGTTGCGATGTAAGATTCATTCGCGATACCGCATTCGCGATATTTGGCTCAAAGAGGTGAAAGGCTAGCCGAGCATGCCGACAACAACGTCCGCTTGCCGAAGAAAGTACGTATCTCGCAGTCACCTTAGATTCATGAAATAAATTCCTCAATAAATCATTAACTTGTACGTTTGACGGCTCTCATAACTTCGCGATAACTTTCCTCTATGCGAAAGGTTCCGTCCAGGCTAATATTTCTTCCGACGTCTTACCAACGGTAAACTTTATCCAACCAGTGCAACTCGGAGCATTGTGCACGGTCAGTACGGGTCGGGAAACGATACGGCCGCGTATCCCCGAGGAAAACAGCTAATGCCGCGATTATGCGTTTCATTTCTTCCAAAAATATTGCCGCTGCTTCGTTAAAAACAGAATTAATCATTAATGTCGCAAACTCAGCTCGGTATGGGACGAGGGATAAACCGCTGACCAAAATCACACCCACAGAAAAAGTTTCCGGATTCAATGCTATTACACTTCAATGTGTCATAAAAAATCGACAGGGCGCCAATCATATTTATTATAGAGAAAGGAATATTTTAATCTTAAATGAAAATTCTAAAATCTAGAATAAAATATTGTATTAAGTATGTGTCGTCTTTTGTCGAATATTGTGGTGCCAACTTTGCGTTGTAAGATGGGAGGAAAATTTATTCTAAATGCAAGAATATATAAACTCACATTTATATAAGTTACTCTTGTCTCAATATAGTAAGTCAATCTTTTTTTAATTCGAAAGAGGAGACTAAGAATTATTGATTTTATTTTGATATTGTCTTATTTGTATACTAAATAAGGTTGTGAGAAATATGAATGCGTCAAGAATATTTTTGTCTCGGTAACAGAAATCCTTTTGTTTAATGTCCAATGGGCATTACTTTGTCTTACTATCTTATTTCAGCTCATTAATTTTGTTTTATCTTATTTTCTTTATCATGCTCAAACTACAGCCCAAAAAGTTCCTAGTAGTGCCCAGTAATGCCGACAAATCTACACCCCCAGAAAGGATTTCTGTTGCCGAAACAAAAATATATTCTTGACGCATTTATATTTCTCGCAGCTTTATTTAGTATAAAAATAAGACAATATCCAAACAAAATTAAAATTTTTTATTCTCCTCTATCGAATTAAAAAAGATTGACTTACTATATTGAGACAAGAGTAACTTATATAAATATAAGTTTTTATATTCTTGCGTTTGGAATAAATTTTCCCTCCATCTTACAACGCACGAAGTTGGCACCGCGATATTCGACAAAAGACGATACGTCTTATCATTTTATTCTAGATTTTAGAATTTTTTATTTAAGATTAGAATTATTCCTTTCTCTATAATAAATATAATTGACGCTATATCGATCCGATTTTATGACACATTGAAGTGTAACAGCATTAGATCCGGAAATTTTTTTTCTGTTGGTGTATACACCGCAATGCCCTCGTCGGTTTACCCCTCGGTGTGGAATCTTCGCAAAACAGACAAGCATAATTTTTGAGAAAGATAAATTAAACGAGACATTGTAGCCTAATTTTCACCAATACCCGCTTCTATCGCCGTAGATTAACCTTGATCTCG